ATATATATATATATATATATATATATATATATATATATATATATATATATATAGGGAAAGGATCTAAAATGTGTGATTTGAATTTGGAAGAGTGGAAATGGCTGGAATTTATCATTGTGCTCCAAATGCTGCTTCAGTCATACCTGTAGACTGCATGCAGACACTATTCAAAGTCTGGTTGCAGAAAGCTGTTCGCCATTTTCCATCAACATCTACATACACACATGGTTTATCCCTGCTTGGTTCATTTTCGGCCCAGTTGCTGGAGCTCAGGTGCCAGCCATCAATGTACCGGAAATAACCTTGAGTCTGGAATCAGAGACACATATCATATAAGAATGATCAGATTGAAGCGTGTCAGTATGAAGCAAATGTAATAAGCCATAAGATATTCCATTCAAATATATTCAGGAATAACCTAACAGCTTAGGTAAAAATATATAAATAAATTTGATTTTATGATAGATTTTCCCCTGCAAATAGCCTGTTGGAGATTAGAAATGTCTGGGTTCTGCAATTCTCTACCTCATTTTTGTTTAGTCCAATCCACAGAGGAGCTTTGAGGGTCAAAGCCAGTAGTTCAACATAGGCATTTGTCCACTCATTTCGTAGGCTGGCCAAACTGGCCTTTTCACTTTCGCACTGTTTCTTGGCGTTGTACCAGGTCAGATTTTGAGTCACAGCCTTAATGCTATCATTTCCCAGGTGTTGATAGATGAGAGGATCAATTGGATCTGTGTTACCTGGAAAACCTGGGTCTGTTGGACATAAAATAAAATATATTTTATTTGTTTATCTTACATGCTGAATTAAACCTAAAATATTTCTAAACCAGCAAAAAGCTGGAACTTACTAATATTTTTGGCACATATGAATCCATTTGTGTCATTGCAGGACTTTATCAGCCATTTGCCGATCCCGGTCGCTGAATTGGTGGACATTAACACGCACTCCTCCTAATTTTGATAAAAAGTTAAAAGAGTTAAAAGGTACAGTCATCTTCAAACTCATAGTTATTGCATTTTTTTCTTTCAGAAAAATAAACATATCAGATGCAACCCTTTTTTGTATATATGTATTTTTTTGTTTTTTTTTTACCTCATCCCATCTTTGATAAAATGATCCAGGACGTCGTTGAAATTTCTAAAGGGCAAAGGCAAATTGCTTATCATAATTATCCCATCTTAAACTTTATTTCTTTACATAAAATTGCATAGCAGTTGACCTATCTTATGTCACAAGAGTTCAGCAAAAACACAATCTAATCAGCAAAAACACAATCTAAACTAATGTACAGATACAAATAACATGACAAATAAAATCTGAGTCTATGTTCATGCAAATTGAGAACCGGCCAGTGGCTCTTTTAGGGAGTTAATCTGCAAATAGCTGTCTTAGTTGTCAAAATCAGTTTTTGGAGTGTGGGTGGTCTTAGACTTTAACTGACTTTAAACCCAGTTAAAGTGCTTTTCTCTAGTGCTAAAAGGAAACAATTGTATTTCTTTACAACCACAGAGTTCTACAGGCATTTTTCCATCATATATTTGTTTGTAGTTCAATTGGAAAGGTTTAAAAAAAAGCATACTATACCAAACCAAAGACATGAGTGGTCCCGTATAGATACGAGTTTTTATCTAAGACATCAGTCTAAAAGACAACTTCTAACACTGCTATTAACCACTTCAGAGTAGTATAACTGAGGAAATACTCACACCATAACCCCAGTTGGTGTACTTCCGTGTTTTGCCATCAGTCCAGAAAAATCCCTCTTGTTTTAGGCTGTTTAAACCTATCCATAGACCTGTATTTGTTGCTGTGAGCATTCTAGTGATCAAAAATGCTGTAAAATTAAAGTGAGAAACAGCAAAAGTATATTTTTTTTTGTTCCAAAATGTATTCATTTATTCTTGTAATTAATGATAACATGAGAGCAGACCTTGCACTTGTCTCGTTGGAATGGACACTAAATTGGCTCCAATACTGATGCACTGAGTTCTTGCCTCTTCCCATGTGATCTGGCGTTCGTACGTAATCTTATAACACTGTTGGCAACAAAATATGTTAGAAATATGAAAAAAAAAAAAAAAAAAGACCTTGTTTGAAAAACATGCAAAAAAAAGTCTTAACAAAAGTTTTTTTATTGGAAACATTTATTCCAGTACTTGGACAACACAGAACACAAACCCCTAGAATTAGGCATGGAGGTAGAAACAGTGAGCTTAGGACAGTTATCTATTGTGGGTACAAAGACTTAGCCTGGGTGCCATTCCAAACTTAGTCCCGCCCACAACGTTTGAGGTCGGGAAGTTCGGTCTGGCGTTGCTCAACAGTAGCGCGAGTATGCTAGCACAATATCTGGCGAGCCAATCAAATTGTCAGGGCGGG